GCTTCTATACTGCTCAGAATTAAACGCAATCATTCTTTCCTTTCACTCCAATCCGTATAACGAAACTCTGATCAATATGCAATCAACGGCACTTGTGCATGTAAATGTGTTAGAAGGAAACAATACACCATTGAACATAAGCATAGAAAGCACTCCTCCGTTCCATGCCGAAATCACAACATTACGCGCTTGGGCTACCCATTGGGTTTCAGCTTTCCGCGAATGTGTTCTAGTGTTGCTCCACAATCGCAAACCTCTCCTCATAGTATCAGATGCAATCTCGTGCATTTGTGCTATTCACTGCTGACCACTGATTGTGCTACGGCAATTGCTGTTCGAAGCTCGATGCAGTTCACCAGAGTCTCAACTTGCCATTTCTTGGATCTTAGACCAGAGATAGGAATATTTCTTAGTGAAAACCAGCATATCACATAATCGATCAATCAGATAAACGGTTTCAACTACTGTTAACGAGCTCACCTAGCGCTCCATGCCCTCCGGCTTTTTACACATTATGGCCGGGATCTCTTTCTGCTAACTCCACACTTATCTGCAAATGTGATGGTAACGGCACCAAATTAACACCTCGGAGGACGTGTGTTCGAATCCCACCACCAAGGTCTGACTTTCCTAATTGTGTTATGTGGCAGCTGCCTCCTTCCTGAAAATTGTGTCATTACGTATTCAGTAAAAGCGAAAAAGAAAAGAAGGAAAGGTGATGACTGCTCACATTCTTGATCCCTTTCGGTCAAGGTAATTTCAGAGTCACATAAACATAGTTCTTTTGTTTACTATAACGCACAAGAGTTGGAGCAATAGGCTATCACGCACATGAATGGGACGAAGATACGGACGAATCTTTTAAGTCAAGGTAAGTAAAAGGCCTCTTGGATGTCACAAGAATCAACTATGCTATTTGTCAGGAAGGTTATAATCCGGTCGAAAAATTCATATTTTTGAAGAAGATAGCCAAAAGAAAAAAACCGCAACTGGGTGAGCCTCTGAGGCCGAAATGATCGGTCAGTGTATTCGATCGGACGGTCCGACGCTTCTGATTGGTCAGTTATACCGAATGTTCAGAACGAACCAGAGGCAATAAACGGAACGAATGCTAATCCGTAACAAAAGGAAGACACGTTTTTCCTCTAATATACTGTCCTGTGCCATTTTTATTGTGTTCTCTTCTTCGGCTCGGAACTTGGTGGTATGATAGCAGTCTCAGCAACAGTCAGCACACAACACTATTATTCGTTTGAGTGGTGACGGGTGCGTATCTAGTTCACCGCATCATCCTGACGACCTGTGTTACAGTTCACTTGTTTCCAATATTCCTGCATCGAATTCAAACCAATTCGCTTGCAATTACCTTCCTGTTCGCGACGGACAGACCTCAACTTCCAATCGGGACACGGTCTGTTTTGTGGTCACCAAAATCGATGTTTTTCCACCAGAGCCTTCTCATGGACTGCTTCGAACCGGCGATCGTTCTCATGTCGGTAGGCACACCAGAAAGTTTCAAGCCAAGTATTTATAAGGGTCTCTACAGGTGTTTCTTCCAAATTGAGACCTGTTCGAGGTTGAATAATTGATAATTGTAAATATAATAATAAGTATGTGCCTAGAAAATTTAAAAGGATACATCTGTACAACCTTAGCGAGGTTCGGTATGGTTGATCAACACAGACCATAACTAAGTGAAACAAACGAACACAATCCCGACCGCGTATGAATTGCACTAACATGGAAAATTAACCAACTCTACAGGAGTGAGAGCCACACAACAGCGGTCAGACGCAGACTCTGGCGCATGCAAACCAGCGTGAACGACGATCGGTCCGATAGCCAGATCGATCAAGGTACACCATAAAAAAGAGAGGAACCAGTTACGTGCGTTTATTTTCCAAACTAGCAGCTCAATTCTGGTAGACATTGGATGGGTCGTACAAGAGTTGATGTATCGTCACACAGACTGGGAGATTATATTTATTCCTAACCATTTTTTTTCACCGGTTAATCAAATGATAGCTAAAGGAGAGCAACCGAGACGGGAACAAAGAAATTTGGACTTTCATAGTTTTAAACAAAGTGAGAAAAAACAATCACCAGTATTCAGTCTCTTATATTTGAACAAAGAACACAACACTGCAAGCGAGCACGATTTAATTCCGGAATCATTTTGCTGCATCTCAACTGGTGCTTACTGCAGAAAGAAATAGTTTATATATCACTGGTCATGACAATCTAACATGGTATAAGTTCATTCTTCCGCCTACATGGCCACCAGGGCAACGCCTGACTGATGTAAACTCCTTCTGCTGACACAGTAGGGGGTTTCGGCGCTTGATTGCTACGGTCTCTGCAAATCTTATCAACCGTGAGCCGAATTAACTCACTTTCCACATAATGTGAAGTGCACAGCCTCCTAGCTGTTAGATAAATTGAATTTACTTCGCAAGGACATACAATTCACTATGGAAACCGAGAAAAACAGCACACTCCCATTTCTGGATATTGTTATTAGTCGAAGACCGGACGAAACTATTTCGATGCCTGTGCATCGAAAATCCACCTGGACCGGTCAGTATATGCATTTTGGAAGTTTCGCTCCAATCCAGTATAAGAGGCCTAGAGCATACACTGTTCGACCGAGCTAGGAGGCTGTGCACTTCATATAATGTGGAAAGTGAGTTAATTCAGCTCACGAAAGCTCTGAAACTCAATGGCCACCCAGCAAAGTTCATACAACTGTACAGCGAAAAAGCCGAGCCCAAGCCCTCGGAGATGATAGTACCAAAATGCGACGTCACCACTCAACTCCCTTTCAGACGTAATGATGCAGGCCAACACATACGAAGACAGCTGTAGCTCGCACGTATTTTGCTGTAAATCCGGTCGTTCGCTTCTCAAAAACCCAGATTCCGAAGGACTTGGTGAAATCACCGCTCTCTCTGCCCACGAAATCGCATATAGTCTATGAATTTCAATGTGGGTGCGGAGCTACCTACGTGGAGAACCGAGAGGCAGCTGCATACCCGAGTGGCTGAACACATACCGGTAAGGGTAGAACGCGAGCGGGTGAGATTGAGCGCTACACGAACAATCAGTCTAACAGAGCACCTGCGTCATCAACTGCTGCAGAGTGGCCACCAAGCTGAATGTGGGACTTGGTAGCTGTTAAGATTTGCAGAGGCCATAGCAATCAAGCGCCGAAACCCCCTACTGTGTCAGCAGAAGGAGTTTACATCAGTCAGGCGTTGCCCTGGTGACCACGTAGGCGGAAGAATGAACTTATACCATGTTAGATTGTCATGACCAGTGATATATAAACTATTTCTTTCTGCAGTAAGCACCAGTTGAGATGCAGCAAAATGATTCCGGAATTAAATCGTGCTCGCTTGCAGTGTTGTGTTCTTTGTTCAAGTTCTTTCGGGAAACAATTGTTTCAACTTTCACTTTTATATTTGCCATCAATCTTCTGTTTAACGAACTCCCCACACTTGTGAACAGGGAGAGTAAGAAAAATCCAAATTTCTGTACGATTTACTTTGGTTGGCTTATCTGGTGTTCGGCTCACAAGAATATGGACTTATCCTACTACTAGGCTAAGACTGGTGAAGACTTACTGCGGTCAAACCAGACATTGCGTTTGCTGGCGCCATTCCATCAGTCGGTTAACACCAAGACGATACAATAGAGAGCCTAAAATGAACGATTTGGATTTCTAACTGCAAACGGATCAATGTCTTCGTATTCAATAACGATTTCCGATAGTTTTCATTTTCAGCCATCTAGCAGACAGAAATCCGTCACTGTCTTTCCAACACCCCGGGCCGTTTTAACCAAACTTATGACACGACAGTGTGCGAGTGAACAAGTGACCTGCCAGTTGGATGGGTGGACGAACCATATCTACAAAATGACCTTGACCTGAAAACAAATCACACTACANAGCAGACGCAGGAGTTACCATCATCTGATATCATTCATCATTAAGAGTACATAACTAATATTCCGTTCCGTGGTGCGTGACTCACGTGGTCGGCGCGGGTCGGGGCTTTCTTGTCAAACAGAATCTTGACAACGAATCACTACGGATCAGTACGCGAAGCGGGAGAAATGTAGTTTTTTTCTTTTCAAAGGGGCGTGTCTAATTGGATACTCGTATGCAAAGTATTGGTGAGAAACAGTGACATACTGAAAGATTTATCGCCTCCGACTCAAATTCATTTAGATTTTAAAATGCAGAGAAAATCGGTCTGCTGACCAGTCGAAGCACCGATGCTGATTGGATAACGCGTCCCTCATGGAACCATGGCGACCCATAAGCACCTAAGGACAGGCAGACCTACACTGACCCTGAAGCAAACTAGGCAAGATAAATTTGACCTGAACACCGAGATTATGACAGTGGACAAGAAGCATAAACAGACCCAAGCCAGGAATTTGCACATAAAAAGCCCGGTGTTTACTCGGAGGAGTGAGAACGTATGTGTGCTTGAGAAGGAATAATAAATCGGAGCAGACCAGAGAGAGAGAAAGAGGAAGATGGGATAAACATGGATGGATGAATGCGTGTGAATAGTGCTGGCCGCGTGTGGGGGAGAGGGGGTGGGAGCGGAGACAAGTGGCGGTTCTGGATTCAAAAGGATGCATAGATAGCACGGACAAACAGAAAAAAGATAGAGAGAGACAAATGATTACAGGGATTAGCCAAAAACACGACGTGAAAAAAAGCAAAAAAGACAACAATTAAGGTAATTTGATAACCGGATGAATTTGAGATATTTTCGAGTTCCGCGCGCGGCAAGAATGTGTTCAGTGAGAAGATAGAGTAGTTGTGATGGTATGCTGAAATATTGGCGAGTATTTGTGATGTATGACGTATTGTTCTGTTCTGTTCTGAACAATGAACCCACAGGAGGGGAATGTGACTGCAGTTTACAATTCTCTGTGGTTAGTTTTCCTTCTCAAAACGCCCGGGCTGTGTTGCGTTTGTACCGCTACTCTCGAGTGTAGCACCCGTTGAGATAGAGCTGTCGGGTTACAGAGGCGAATCGCCGACGCGCATTGGATCGGGAGATTTTCATGGTGGGCGTGAGCAATCCATTCGCAACAGTAAATGCAGTGGTAGTCAGATGAATCGCTTTCGCCTGTGGAGAAAGACAAAAAAATACAAAGTGTGTGTGTGTGTGTGCGTACAAACGAAGGATCGGAACAGTTTACTATCGTGATTGAGACGAGCCCAATGTGGTAAATTCAGAAATTGCCTAATCAGTAGAATATGGGGTTGTTATTGGTGCTCTGAGCCCCGGGGACCGAATCAGTGTTTATCTGCCTAGCAGCTAGCAGTCTAGAATGTAATAAACAGGGGGAGCAGAAATAGCATGGACGGGTTGACTGGAGATAAACTCCGCCAGATATTGACGGGAAATTTTGGATGCGAACAAGTAAACGTTCCGAGTGTTATGAACATATGCTTTTTTAAATAATCTGAATCAGCAGCGCGAAGGAGAACAATAGGCAGGTCCAAGGAGAAGCAATATTTTTTCTCATTGCCTACGAACAGAAACTTGGAGAACCCATAGAACTTGTTTTATCTGATGAAGGAAATTGAACGCAAAGCAAAAGTGGAAAGTTAAATTTCAACAATGCAACACAAGGAGACAGAATCATAGGTTGCGCCTTACCCGGTGCCATAATTCTTTACGGTCGGCATAAACAGAATTTGGTTCCACCCGACGACGGGGAAAGAGTATTTCAGGTGTCTAGACTATTGCCAACAAGCTTTAACCCTATAGTTATTATGATCAGCCCATTTGGACCCGTCAATAAAGACAACAATGTTATCTATATTAAAGGTTGCTCTGTTAATTACATTCCCTGGCACGAGAGGCAAAAACAGCACTAAAATGGAAGATTGAGGAGGTGCATCGGATTAGCCCGCTAATGTATCATACGCAGGAAGACGATAACATGAGCATCTGTAACCGGAAAGATGTAGTGCTCAAAAGGTGTATTTACCGCAAGGTTACGTAGTCATTAGCATCATCACCGTACAGCGAAAAACACTGAGGCGAACTTCACTGATCGCTGCCAAACTCACAATGCATACAACATAAGTGAGAATCTGTAACGACGACACGGATTGGGCCTATTTTTAGGGAAGGGAAAAGAAATAGAACCGCTACGGTCAACACAGAATACACAACCCAACTGTGCATACACACAATTTCAAGCATTCTGATAAGAAGTGACCGCATGATTGCCATTGCTGCCGGTTCGCTGCCATGACCTTCAGTGTCTCCAACCATGCGGTTTTGGAATCTTTTGGACCGCAACCCGGAAAACGAGAGACACCTACTCTACCTAATCGCTCTATGCATTTCTTTATGCCTCGTCTCCACATCATCTGCTGACCTCCACGTGGCATTCTCCAGCTTGTAACAGCCACTGCAAACAAGGCGCGCTGCGGTAGGCCACCGTCTGACATACGCAAAACATGTCCTAGCCAACGAAGCCTTGAGCTGGATTCGATGAGATAGCGGGTTCTTGTTTGATGTATTCCCGAACACCAGACAACTTACTTCTAAGTTACAAACCCGCTCACTCCATCCAACCTGGGCCAGACTACGTAAGCATCGATTGTCGAAAACCGCTAAACGACAGGTGTCTTCTACCCGAAAATTTAAGGTCTGATAACCGTAAAGTGAAACTGATCGTACGGTGGCACAGTATACGCGACTTTTCAACTTGAGTGATACGTCACGTCACCGCCACAGGTGTTTAAGTCCTGCTTACACTGTTCGTGCCTTGGAAACGCGGGCGGTTATCTCCTTCGATGCGCTACTGCCGCTGGTCACGCAGCTACCTAAGTACGAGAAGCAGTCAACTTCAGCTAGTTCCTAACCGTCTAATTTCAAAACAGAATTTGGTAACACCCAGTCTTGTAGCATTACTTTGCACTTTGAAGGTGCAAAGCGCATGCCGAACGGAACAACAGAACTTGTTAATCTATCAAATGCTCTTTGTGCATCCGCCATACATTTGAACAAGCAAACGACTTCTTCAGCCAAATCGCACAGCTTTTCTCCATCTGCCCATTCAATACCAACGTTTTGGAGACCATCTAGTGTGTTCTCCAGTATTTCGTCTATGACGAAATTGAACAGGAATGGCGAAAGAGGGCACCCTTGACGAACACCACTGATAGCTACGAACGACCTACCCAGCTCGCCGTAGACCTTTACGCTACCAGGGGTATGCGAGTAGAGTGAATTCAGTATGTTCACATACTTCTGCGGCATTCCTTTGCGAAGGAGTGAACCCATAAAGGATTCATGATCAACTGAGTCGAAGGCTCCTTTTAGGTCAAGGAACACGACAACCGTTGTTCGACGGTGCGTATGGCGCAGCTCGAGGACTTGTCGCAGAGTGAAGATTTGGTCGATACAGCCGCGACCTGGTCGAAATTCCGCTTGTTGTTCGCGGATGTTTGTCCCCCTGGAAGGCGTCAGACGTCGGAGTACAATGGAGGCTAGTAACTTGGTGACGATTGGCATCAAACTTATTCCACGGTGGTTTGCGCAGTCATTGCGAGATACCATTTTAAAAATCGGAACGATCAGTGAATCACCCAGGCTGATGGAATGCGCTCTTGTAACCAGATGTCACGCATTAAATCAGTAATGGAGTCTACAAGGTCACCATGAAAAAAAGAGTGGGAGGAAGCCCGTCCGGCCCTGCTCCTCTTCTTTTTTTCAGGGTTTGGATGCAAGAACGAACTTCTGCTGCAGTAGGAGGTTCAGATGACTACCCACGGAGCCTCAGCTACATCGCAGGAGATAGTCTGATTAGCGCCTGGACAGCTGAACTTTTTGTTGAAGTATTCCGCCCACCGGTCAAGCCGCTGTTCCCTTGCCCACTTTTGGAGCAGATTGATTCACTAACTATGGTTCGCCGACCTCCCGTTTTGCGTATCAGTTGGAACAGTCTGACTATTCCATGATGCAGGTGCTACTCCCATCGTTGCCCACCAGTTCTCACGGTTTTTCTTGGGGTTCCTCGTGAGATGACNATGACGCTGTAGACGACACCTAACCTTGCCTTGATCCCGGGTGGTTGGGATTTGCCGCTTTCTCTCCATCAGTGCGACTGACTCATCAGACATCCAATATCCCGGGAGGGCCACTGCTTCAGATCCACAA